TCTTACACTCGTGCAATCGCACGGGGCCCGTTAGCGGCCGCCCCCTCCCCGCAGTGTGGACACAGGCCCAGAGAGCAGCAGGAGGGGGAGGGCCCTGCACGCAAGCCCCAGCTCCCCAAAGCGAGAGGACGACTCGGTGTGGGGCCAGAGGCAGGCCCAGACAAAGCCAGGCGCAGGGGGATCCCGTGCCGGGAAGCCAGGCGGTCCAGCGGGGGCACGGCGCCAAGTCGGGGAGAGAGCGCCTTACCGTTAATATTTATACAGCACGTCCAAAAATACTCGGCGGCCAGCGGGAAAGTTTCAACAGCTCGTTGCTGGAGCAATTCCCAGAGGCTGACGGCGGGTCTGTGTTCCCAGCCCGGGACCCCAGAGTGGCTTGATTTTGTACAGTAGAGCATCGTTGCTTTTCCGGAAATTCAAGGGCCAGTGTAGACAGCTCGCAGCTTATTCCGGAAAAGCGGCTGATTTTCCGGAATAAGTGGCCCCGTGTAAACACAGCCCAACATTTTATTTTTTTTCTGTTTTAGGCAAAATGTAGTAGATTTTCGTGGGCCCTAAAAGGTTCATTGTTTTTCTGATGTGAGCAAAAAATTAAAACATTTTCTTCAACCCTAAAAGTTTATTTTTTTTCTTCTGATTTTAAAAGACACTAAAACATTTTCGTGGGCCCCTAAAAGTATCGTGGGCCCTCGGCACGGTGCCTAACGGCTAAGTCGGCCCTGGGTCTGTGTGACCCAGGCTCGGTTGATGAAGGAACCCGGTCCTCGGCAGCTGGGTTTTAGACTGGTTCAGAGGGGTTTGGGCTTTGTGACAATACAGTCAGCCTTTTGGTGTTTGGAAGCAGCTGCCTGCAATAATCTCCCATGTAATAGCTTTATCACATGCTATAAAGCAACATTTACATTTTTCCGTTATAACTGGAAAAACCCCTCTGAAACCAGGAACCTGTCGGGTGGAATCATCTCGACCCATTATGATGGACTATCAGAACTAAATGGGCCATTGTGGAACATCACAATCAATGCCTGTGTTAATTGCCCCTTCACACACACACACACACACACACACACAAAGAAGGAAGTACAAACAGCAGACAAGAGAACGTTTCCTCTGCTTGGTTGCTCCTGTGGCTGAAGATTCCCAGGGTCTACCCGTGTTAGAGCTGACAGATTACAACAACTCTGTCATCTTTAAAACCCATGGGCTACGTCTCCACTGGCATGATTTTCCGGAAATGCTTTTAACGGAAAAGTTTTCTGTTAAAAGCATTTTCGGAAAAGCGCGTCTAGATTGGCAGGACGCTTTTCCGCAAAACCACTTTTTGTGGAAAAGCGTCCGTGGCCAATCTAGACGCGCTTTTCCGCAAAAAAGCCCCGATCGCCATTTTTGCCATCAGGGCTTTTTTGCGGAAAACAAATCTCTGCTGTCTACACTGGCACTTTTGCGCAAAAGTTTTTCAGAAAAAATGGGGTTGGAGTCTCCCAGAGGGGTCAACTAACTCTGGCCCCGTATTGCCTCCTGCCATGGACGGGCACCTCACCTTGTCCCCTCCCTGCTCATGCGGGCTGGCCTCCTTCTCGCTCAGCCCCTTCTCATCAGCCTGGGCCAGGCCTCGCCCAGTGTGCTCACGCCCGCCTCGCACTGGCTTTTCACTAGCAAACACACGAGCCCCACAGGGGGGTGAAAATAGCTGGGGAAACGCTGCCCCTTTCCATTAGCCCAGGCAGACACAAGTCTGGGGGCGACGCCAGGAGAAAGCCCGGTGGGAACGGGTGCTGCTCGGGTTCGACTCCTGGCTGCAGAGAGGGGAGTGAAGCCGGAACAGCAGCGGCGGAATTCGTGGGTCGTGGGCCAGGATAAGTGCCCCCAGGGCTGTGCAAAGCCAGGGGGAGCATGCAGAGGTGGAGGGTCAGATCAAGCCGGGGAATGATGGTGTTTGCTATTGCTCTGCAGCACCACAGCAGCCAGAAGCCTCTGCCAGGGCCAAGCCCATTGCTCACAGGAAGGACCAGCGAGTGCCGCGTGTCTCTCCCGGTCCCTATGCAAATCCCTGGAGTTGCCAATTTGCTTAGCAAAGAGGTGGGTACGGCCCCGAGATAGGAGCCAGCTGCGGGGGTAGAGGCATCACGGGCACTGACTGAGCCCCAGGAGGGAAGGGGGGGACCGCAGGCACCGGGCTGGCAAAGGGGGCCCTATGGAGGCCAGGACCCAGGCAAGATTCTGGGCACCAGGAGCTGGAAGGAAAGGGGGTGCTATGGGCATCAGGCTCCAGGGGGGAAGGAGATCCTACAGTCAGGGCCACGGGACCCCAGAAAGGAACAGGAAACACCTGGCTGGGCAGGGGGGCTGCAGGCTGGCACCCGGACTCATGTGGGGGGCAGGGGGTAGGCAGGCAAGGAGCCCCAGGAGCTGTATAGACAAAGGAGTGCCCCCTTTCTGCCCCCCCAGG